TTTTTACTATTGGCTAGTTTTTGACGAATATCTCGGAATCTAAAAGAGATAGAAAGATTTTTGTCATGACCTTTTTTGTAGAGCCAATAGAGCGTTATAAAAAAAGTCATGAGAAAAATTTTGCTATCTCTCTTAGATTCCGAGATATTCAGCAAAAACTGGCTAATAGTCAAAATCGACTTAACTCGGTTTACCGCTTCACTACTGAAAAACCCTCTTTGAAAAAGTTCAGAATTTATTCTATTTTTTTAATCATTCCATCATAATTTTTGGGAATTTCTACATGATGTACCACTCAATTGACAATGTTGGATTACGAAAGATAAAAAAAATCCAGATAACATTCGAAAGATAGGACACCCGGGCCTTAATTCTTGAATTTATTTCTCCTCGCTCATTCGTGCCACTTCAAATTATTGTCGGAACCATTCGGCAATTGTCGGTCCCCACTTGCTCCCCCGCCACAGGTGTCAAAGGATCGCCTACCCGGCCTCATAAATCAACGATTCAGTGCATTCGTTTCTCGACGTGATCCAGTCACGATCTGCTTTATCTCGCGTATCATTCGCTCCAGTTTAGCGTCCCGTGTCAACACAAAGGGACAGCTGCGACATTTTTTTTCTTTGTTTGATTCGATATCGTTGGAGCCATGGGAGAGGCTGGAGAGATAACCAAGAGGTTGAGGGGGATTGAGCAGGAGTGCGGCTGGATCGCAGGGGAAATTAATTTTCTTAATAATCGAGTCGATGGCTTCAAGGAGAGAATTAAAACTCTTGAGGCTGAGATGAACCATCTCCAGCAGATTCAGGTGAGTTCATGTTTCGTTGTTTTTTTCAGACGTTTTTATCGACGACAAAGTTAATTGAAAATTTTTCAATTAAATTTTTGTTAAAGCTCAATTAATAGGACAAAATTGACACTTTAGACTTTTTAAAAAATATCCATAACTCAGAAACAAACTTATGAATAGAGCTCAGTTTAGGCTCATCACAAAGGGAAAGAATTGTTCTTTGTATTAAAAGAAAAATTATTAAATTTCATCAACATTTCAACCCGTCACTAGCATTTTAAAAAAAAGTGTCCATTTTACCCCAACCTTCCCTACACTTAAAAAAATTAATTAACAATTAATCCAGTTTATTGTTTATTCGGTTTTTGAATATGAACGAATTGAATTCATCATTTATCGATTTAATTGGTTAATTGATTAATTAATTGGGGATTTTAGGACGCTGTCTCGGGCCCTGGGGAGATGACGAACGATAGACTCTCTGGACTGATGCAACAGAGACGCAGAAATCTCGTTGAGGTAATTCTCTTCTCTTTTATTCTGAACGTCCCTCAAGGTCGATCCAGTCATTGTAAATATTTTGTTTTGATTTCAGATTCAGTATGCCCTCCCCAGCACCTACGAGGAGCTCAGAAAATTGGTGAGATTTAATTCTTCGTGGAATAAATTTATCACATTTATTATTCGCTTTGGGGAAGAGATAAAGTATGTGCTGAAGGGAGAATTTAATTCCTCACGTCTCCCTTTGGGGGCAAAATATTCATGGATATTTTTTTCTTTGAGGCTTTCATAAGCTGCGAGACATTTTGCGTTGTAATTATTTGTTGACGAGATGATTGAGGAATTGAGTGACGAAATGAACTTGAGTCGAATAAAATAACACCTTGAATCGATCGTTGCTCAGAGAATGATTTCGGTAATGAAGAATTTTACGAACAAATGTCAATGTTTTTTTTGCGAGCATTTCATAGACTCCAAAAAATCGCTCGATATTTTGTCCTGGAATTGACATTCGATAAATGATTCACTCATTCATCAGTCGTTAAATTATCTCGATAATGAAGGAAACGACATTAAGATACATTTTGCACTTTCACGAAGGATTACCCATTTCCGAGATAAGCACCCAGAATATTAAAATCTCATTACAGCTGTACGAACAATCCCACCATTTACCAATTCTCAGAATACTTCATTGATGAGCCAGTCTAAGAGAAAATGTCAGCAAAGAATTTTCGTGGATTACGAAATTCTGTGCTGAGAAGGTTCTCTATATTTGTTCTCCCCCGCCCCTCCCCCAATTGGATTGTTCCACGAAGGTTCCAAGGCTTAGAAATACTGTATTTGATATGCACAATTCCACTTTTCATTAACCATTGAATTATGACACTCATCTCTGAGGTGATTATTTTTTTTATGAATAATTTTGACAATTTCCTCAATTCTGATTTTGACCAATCAGAGTGCAGTATTTGGAGTCACGTGATGCGTTTCACAGTGATAATTTCCCCGGCTGCAGGGAAATTATCAGACTGATAATTTCCCTGCAGCCTGTCAATTGTTTTCTACGAATTTGACAGATATTCCTCACATTTTGGTGAGATGTGTCCCGTAACCCCGAACACTGCACCCTGATCAGCCAAAATCAGAATTGAAGAAATTGTCCTCCGAATACCCCTCGACCTTCAAAGTTCATCGGATATTTCCCTCAAGTTTATCTGCATATCAACGATCGGGATCAGTTTTGCAGTAAAATTTTAATCTGCAAAACTGATCCGATCGTTGATATGCAACAAAACATTCGGGAAATATCCAATAATTTTGAAGGTCTTGGGGTATTATAGCTGATTATTTTATCAATTATTGTATCAATTATTGTGAAAACAAAAATTTGATGGATTTCTATTTGAAGTTGAAGAAATCATTCGTTTCATAATTTGTTATTGAACTGATATTTTCAGGAGACTGTTTTGCTGAATCTGCAACAGGAGGCCTTCCAGCTCGCCATCAGTCTGAGCTTCACATCGATGAGCATCGGCTCGAACTAGCCCTTCCCTCCAAAACCCACTGGTGATATTTTTAATGTAAATAAATCTTTTATTTATAATTTCACAAAAAATCATTGTTCATATTTGTACAAAGGTGAAATAAAAATGTTAAAAACGAATTGTCGATTTAAATCATATGTACGGAGAGAAATATTTGATAAAAATTACGTATCTTATTCAATAAAAATTACGTATCCGTTATTCCGAAGCGAAATGTGGTTGTAGGAAATTTCACGGAAGTGCCACGGAATTTTTCCAGAGCGTTCCGTAATCTTTATCTGAACCTCCTGTGAAAAATTACGATACCGTCACTTAAGAGTGCCAAGTGAATTTGAAAAAAAATTCAAAAAAAATTTTTTCTTCCCCTCCATCATTGGAGAAATATGTATTCATCCATCCGACGAAATTTCAAACCCGCGACCGGAACTAGACATCGAGAAAATAAATGCGGAAAATCCTCTATTTCCCGTGACGAACCTCGAGAAAGCATGGGATCAAATGGGTACGGCGGGTTGAAATATCTCTCTTATTCACCCCGGTACCCCATTGTTTTTTGTCGCCATCACATTGAACACATCATTTCCCATATCTTCAAATTTTTTCAAATTGTTCTTGAGTTCCTAGGGGGTTGAAACGTTTAATTTAATCAAAACTCCATAAGAGGCCGGATGTAAGACTGATTTTGTTTATTTAATTTCTCGATATCCATAAGTTCTAAAATTTTAATTTAATTTTTAGTTTTTAAATTTTAAGTTCTAAATTTTTAAGAAAAATTTTATTTTTTCTTTAATTTTAGTTTTTAAATTTTAATTTTTTGTCACCGATGTTCACCATCTGTCTAATACTATTAATTTAAAAAATTATAACTTTGTTGGTGAATGTCAATTTTCAAGGTCATCGCCAAATTCACTTGGCACCCTTAGATTTTCTGAGTCGATTCCGTAATCGGTGAGCGAATTGTGAGTTCCGTAATTTTTACTGAACATTTCTCTCTATGTATACGAGAGAGAAAACCAGCCACTGAAAATTCAGAAGAACTGATTTCGCTATAGAGCAATTATTTTTTTTTATACATTTTTCCTTCCCACGATCATTACGGTTTTATAGGCTCCTCATTCGTCTGCCTTGCTCTCCCACCTCTCTCTTCTGATATTTAGAGGGTGTTCCTAAGCGGTCACCCATACTTCACAAGTACTAATTGCGCTAAACGCGGTGGCTCTCGGATGTCCGCCGGAGCAACACCTAGTTCATCCAACCATTAACAGTCGGCACACTGAGAGAATAACGACAGAATTCTCAAACAAGTCTTGCTTGTGCCAAGAAAATAGTTTTTTGAAAATTATCAAAAAAGGATTTTTTGTGCCAAATGTGCAGACAGTGCGCCGAAATGAAAAATTTTTGTCGCAAAAATAGATTCAGTAGTTCACAAAAAATTGCATTCTCTGCACACGCAAGACATGCCATTTCCAGCACTAGGGTAAGCTACCCAGTAGATGGACGCTGCCCTATAGATGGAAGAGCTACTTTTGGATAGGAAATTACGCAAAAAAATACTGAAATGTGAATTGTTGCTTTGAATTTTCACTAACTGTTGTGATTCTTAATCCCTGAGTGACGATTTTTTTTTCGATCAATTTTTTTTCAATTGCTAAAAAACAAACGTCCATCTACTGGGCGGTTTTCCCAGGCGTCCATCTACTGGGCAGTTTACCCTACTCGTTCGTTATTCGATACTCCCATACGTATTTTCCTCCCGGAAAATCTTTGTTTTATGCGAAACAAGGGATAGTAATTTTTCGTTTCGGCTATCTAATAATCACAGACAAGAAATGAACCCTTAAATGAAACAATAATAATGATATGATAGCAATCTTGTAACTTAGGGATAAAATATTTGTTGATAAATTTTCCTCAATATGAGATATTTTCATCCGTCTCGTGTAAATTATGCGCCTCTTGAGCCAAATATTTCATTGCTGTCGAAAGCAGAACAATTATTCATATCTGAGACTTCCAAATTCGAATCAAACAAATTCTTTTTTGGCAATTTTCAACTAGCGGTTTTGTTGGCCCAAACAAGACTTGTTTGACAATGTGTTTGTTTTTCTCTCATTGCATACTCTGTAAAGCAATTTTTATACGGACTCTCAAAGCCTACAAAAGAGATTGTTACGTCTCTACGTAGAAATGAAAAGATGTTCATCCAAAACCTCTATTTATTTACAAAAAGTTTTACAAATTTCCGTCTTCGACTGAACATTGCAAAATTCCACTGGACCCAAAAATACATAAAAAAATATTTCTTATAGAAGGCAGATTGCAAAAATATATCACAAGTTGGGACAATTATTCAGGGTTGAGAAGGATAAACGGCCTCTTATCATTTTTCTCCCCAACCCTTTTTTTCATTTTAAGACCGGGATGAATTATCTTTCGAACGTTATCTCGATTGTTTTTCCATCTTCATAATGTAAAATATATCACAATTTCCACTGGATGTTACATCACGTAGGTGTCCCTAAAAATTATGATTGCACAATCAAAAAAAGTAAAAAAAAAAACAGAATTAAACTTACGACTGGCCTGACGGATGTAAAAAATGACCGTCATTTTGCATCCCTAAATTCTATTCTCTAAACAGCAACCGTCATTGGTGAAAATGTTCAGTTTTTTTCAACGTTTTTTTGATTATACAATCATAATTTTTGATGACTCCAGGACTATGTTAAACTGAATGGCAATTGACGAGGGGCTGGTCACTCCTAAATTAAGTGGCTCAGTAATTTCCAGAATGGAATGATTTCCTGTGATTTCTGGAATGATTTCTGTGATTTTCCAATAGGAGAATTGGAAATCATGATTTCACGCATGAAAAAATTTAAGAGAAAAACCTATCGAATTCGTTAGAAAATTCTATTGAATTTCTATCAAACTTTCTATTACTTTTTTGCTGATTCTATTGACATGTTCAGCAGAAAAAATTTAATAGAAAAAGTCAACAGAATTCGATTTTTCTATATAACTTATTCTTTTCATATATTTTCTATAGAATTTGCTCGACTCAAATTTTCTAAATTTTTTTCATTCTATTTTTATTTTCTTGATTTCAAGAAATCATCAGAAATTTGGACTTTACTTTCATCGATGAGTTCTAATTATTTGTAAATCACCTGATTTCTTTATGATTATCAGAAGTCATTACAATTCACTATCAGAAATAGAAATCCCTTGATTTTCAGTGATTCTGGTGATTTCTTCCCTGATTTCCAATCGAGTGGTCCAGTGATTTCCTAAGTGACCAGCCCAAGTCAATTTTGACTATTGACCAGTTTTCACTGAATATCTCGGAATCTAGGGGAGACAGCAAAATTTTTGTTGTAACCTTTTTTATAGAGCCGATTGAATGCTACAACAAATGTAATTACAAAAATTTCGCTATCTCCCTCAGATTCGCAATATTCCTCAAAAACTCCACTGGGAGATGAGTCGACTTAAACCTTTACCACTTCGCTACTGATTTCAGACTATCAAATTAAAAAAAATACACCCAAGATCACGTTCGAAAGATAATACACGCGGCCTTAAATGTACTTCTCAGACTTCAAAATGAGACCTGATCCATTTGGCAGGATATTCTGATGACTCAAGAAGTTCCATGTTACCTCACCCTCCCTTATCAGCAATTCACTTCCTCTGTAAAATTCTGTGCAGATCCTCGAAGGCTGATTTCAGATGACCCACGTATTCAGTGGCATCTCGATGATCCCTGTAGCTGGTGACAACCGACCCAAGTCGATTATCCTGAATCATGTAGCCAATGCCATAGCCATTCTCCACAACAGGACCAAAGCCTCCTCCCAATACGTCTGGACTGGACAACGTCGAAGTCGACAAGATATTCCTATTTATCCTCTCGTAAGATGGATCTCGAAAAATCGATGGAAGACTGCCCCCCAGACTGCCACTCTCCTCCCAAATCCTCTTCAATGCAAACAAATGTCTGTCGAAACCCTGTCCCATGGCAGCCTCTTTCGTGAGAACGTTGTGGGCTTTACTGCACTCAATAATCAATTTTTTAAACTCATTGTCATTGGCTTTGGACTTGCCACTCTCCACGATGGCTTTGCACAGGGCTTTTGTCCGACTCGTGCACGATCTTATGGTCTCGGTGCGACCGTGCTTGAAGGCAGAGGTGCTGCAGGACTCGTATGTTGGGACAGCTCGTCCCTCGAGTTTGTAGAAAGCCAATTGAAACGCCATTTGCATCACAGCGTCTGGACTCACTCCGAAGGTCTTGCACTGCTTCTTACCGAATACATCGGATATGTGGTGATCCAGGGATAGAGTGTCATGGGCCCAATGGTGGTACTCCCTCAGGGCACCGTTTACAGATGCCTTTATGGCGTCGTCGACCTTGAAGCCTAGTTTTTCGACGCTTGGGGAGGCAGGAGAGAGCTTTGAGTGGTCTTCTGGGTGGAACCTGGGCTTCGATTTTATGTCGGCTTTCAAGTCCTGCGGGACAAGGATGATTGCAGTGTTTATAAAGAATGGGAATGTTACACTGATGCAGTTGCGTCGTGAGTTCTCGACCAAAAGAGGATGAAAAAATGTGATGGATGGCTTGAGAAATTTGTTCATTTTCTAGGGACTGGATGAAACGAGCTGAAGATGATATGGGAAGGGTGAGTAATTTTAAGAAATGTTCAAACATACGAGGTGGTGGCTAGGTGTGGCTGACGCCATCTTGCTTGGATACCCCCGCTCTCTGGCGGAAGGGGGTTCTAAAATGGCGGTGCCTCCACCTCGTATTTTTAAACGTTTCTGAAAAATATTTATCCGCTTCAAATGACCCCCAACTCACTTCATCTGGTTTACAAAATATGAACGAATTTTTTAAGGGAAGACTACTATGAGTTTTGAAAGTCGTGGGATATTGCAGTGAGATTTCTCATGCATTAAAGATCGATTATATATGTCTAAAAACGAACAATTAGTGCGAAATAATTGTTTATTTGTCGTTTGCCCCGCAGACGCTTAAAATGGTAAAAGTAGTCCAGGGCCTGCAATGTTTGAACTACAGAGGTTTTTTTTTCAAAATTTTTGAAAAAATGGGTTTAACGACAATTACAAATTAGTTTTTTAAATTCGACTCCTACACAACTAATTTCGTTTTGTTTAATATACAAAATTGTGTAATTCATGTGAAATAGACAGACTCGATTCTTTCAGAAATATTTTTTGGGCTATTTTACATGAATGGTGCAATTTTTTATTAAAATAATAACGAAATTAACTGTATAGGAGTTGGATTTCAAAAAACTCATTCGTAATTGTTATTGCACATATTTTTTCAAACATTTTGAAAAAAAAATCTTCTGTAGGTCAAAAATTGGAGGCCCTGGACTATTTTTAACATTTTAAGCGTTTGCGGGGTAAACGAACAATAAACAATTATCAATCAATCAATTTGTTTATCGCCATTTCTAGTAGGTAGAACCTTGTTACAGCATACATAAGCTAAATGAGGATAAAATAGCATTCAATTAAAGATAAATGATAAATACAGATAGGTAGAAAAGGGTGTAGAGAAAATTAATGTAATAGGGGGGGGGGGAACGGTGCATGAATACTAGGCTGTCACAAAGTTGAAAAGCAGTTGCCTCATAGCTAGCGTGTAATTAATTCAAGTATGAATAATAAATAATAAATAACAGAGAAGCAGGAAGTGGTCCAGAGTAATGAAACGAAAATAAGTATAAGTATTGTCAGGCCAGTAAAATAAAGCTTGAAAATTTTATGCGATTCAGCTCAGATAAAAAGTCATGCGTTGGACTGTAAAAACAACAACCAATCAGTTTTTTTGCACTAGTTATTCGTTTTTAGACATATATAATCAATCTTCAATGTATGAGAAATCTTATTCGAGTCGCCCGCAACTTGATGAAATTAGTTTGAAAAAATCTCAACATCCGTATAATTCCCCCTAAACTTTGATTAATTTTTTATTTCTTCCCTTTGATTTCACGATTTGGCTTTCTGTACAGGGGTAACAGAAGGACCCCGTTTCTTCGAAATCTTCAAACTAATTTCCTGCTCAAAGTTATTAATATTTCATGAAGCCAAATCACATTGATCTTCATCATCACCTCCTGGAGATTAATGCACTTTGATTTGTAAAAAGATCGATAACTTTCGGCAGGAAGTTTGTTAAAAAATTTGAAAAATTAGCGGCATTCTGTTACCCCTTAAGGCATCTTTCAGATTTGTTTGTCCTCTTTTGGATGAGAATGCAAGGCGCAAATTTAGTTTGCTCTCAAGTCCTCTTACTGCGGCTATTTGATGAAATTGTTCAATTTTCATTCCATTCAATTACTTTTCATCAAAATCGATAGAATAAAATCCAATATAGAGTGTAATATCGATGAAGTATAATGTCGAAATCAATGGAATAAGATTCAAAATGTGTCAATAGAGTAAAATTAGTCCCACTTACTGTAAAATATCGAAGAACGGCGACTCCATCACCCCACGAGTGTTCAAAATTTATTCCAGAATATCCCTTTCCATTGACAATCAATGAGAAAGATTTATCGAACCATCGGTTCGCTCCATCGGAATGTAAAAAGTCCCGGAGTAATTTATTCTGATTTTCCTCTTGCAAGTCATCATCCAGCGCCAAAACAAACATTGCAGAATCGATTTTCCGTAGAACTTGCTCGTTACCGAGGCTCAACAGGTGTTGGCGATTCTTAGCCCATTGATTGCGTTCTGTGGCCGTTAGGATTCCAATAGGACACTCGCTGGGCCCTCGTGGATCGTTCAGAATCGAGCTGACGCAGGAAGCTATCTCCTGGGGGGAGCGAATGCTTCCATTTTCGTTTAAGAGATTGAAGGAGTAGAAATGACCTCTTCGCATTACGATCACGTGCCTCGAGGTGGGATCGTTGTAGATCCTGTCCTTTTCCATTTCAGGGATGCGCGCTGTTCCGAAGAGGTGATGGAACTGAGACATGTCGAGGGGGAAAGCCTGGAAATTTGAGTGTTTCAATCCTTTATAACCCTTCGGCCGATATAATTTCAACAAAAAAGAACCCCCCAACACATCCCCTCCAGGAGTTTTTCATTAAAAAAATCTGGCCAAATTATTCCTTTTCGCGATTGGCCCATGATAATCGAATGATCAATTTTGTTTCGTGCGTGCACGAGTGAAAATGTCGATGGCGTAATCGAGTTTACCCCCCTGGATTGTTTATCTGACATTTTTGAGGTGTGAAGAGGGAGTGGAGGGGTTGAGAACCCCAGGGGGTCGATAATTTTGGCGAGTTTGGGTCGAGGGTCAGGGGGACTTTCCAGTGGTTTAACTGTTTCATTCGGATTTTCGCCATGTCCGGAATTCCGCATATGTCCGGGGGCCTCTCCAAGCTCAAGAAGAAGCACTTTCGTGTCAAGCACCAAAAGGTCAAGCTTTTTCGTGCCAATGAGCCACTCCTCAATGTTTTCATGTGGGGTGTCATCACACGGTAGGATGTTGAATTTTATATCGGAGTTTTGGGGTTCATGGAGGTCTGAGGGTGATAGACGCAATTGCTCTGTGTCAACAATGCAGTCCAGGTTGTTTTATTTTCCGGGGGAGATGAGCTAAATTGCAGCGGACTGAATGGTCAATATCTCCGGAACAAATGGTGCAATTTGGATGAGTCAGGGATCATTTTGAAGCCTGAGAAAATATATTCGAAATGAAGAGAAAAATTGGTGAATTCCACTCTGCCAATGTCGAGATATTGACGATTGAAAACGGTTTATTCCATCTCGTCTCTCTGCATTCAATTTTCGATTTCTTTTCTAACGAATTATCTTATTGAAAATAAGAGTGACTCATTGTTTTTTTTCTTCATCAGTTCCTTATAAAAGCACATAAATGAGATGTGATCGAATCAAATCGATAAATAATTGATAAAATAATGTTATAATATCAATACCTTGAACAAATATGCTCCATAAGTGGCGACTGCCGATGGTAAAAGCCCGGTTATCGTTCGAAAAAATTGAGTATTCGATTTTTTGGGATTCATATGATAGACCTCCGGCTCCAGAATACCAGCCCTCAGTGAATTCATGAATCTAGCCGATGATATCAAGAGATTGGTGGCTTTCACCAGCGGTTCATTATATCGGATATTCTCCTCTTGCACCATAATTATAAAAGGATTGTAATTAATTGGCAGTGGTTTGCGATCCCTCAAGTACATGTCAAACCATGGCTCACTTATGTAGCTCGTGTGTTTGTTATTGGCATCAATTTCCACAAGTTTTTTGTGCAACTGTGGGCCTTCCTTGGATTGAAATGCAACAACATTATCCGAGGTTTTTTTAAATTCTTCTGGAGACAGAATGGGCTCTTGGGCTCTTAAATATCTTCTGCATGTGTCTTCTAGCTTTGGAATGGGCAGACGAGGCAGAGACTTCTGAAAGTGCATCGTTGAAAGCCGGCTATGCTGCAGGTAGTCATATTCATTGTATGTGGAGCTGCAAAAATATAATATTGAAGTGAAGCAGTTGAAAAGTTCAACTCAATGTTGAATATTGCTGTTTTCAATGAATATCTCGGAATCTAAGGCGGATAGCAAAATTTTGATCATAATCTTTTTTAAGGGGCAAATGGAGAGCTACAAAAAAGGTCATTATGGAAATTTCGCTATCTCCCTTAGATTCGGAGATATTCCTCGAAAACTCAGCTAACTTAAATCGTTTATCATTTCGGTAAGGAATTTAATTAAATAGTTACTTGAAGATGATCAACTGTACCTTGACCGACTCGACAGAGCGAACAGGAGTCTTGGTAACACATCTGCCTGAAAAAATTTCCGAGTTTTTTCGATCGTGACTCAACAATTCAGTGGCGAATAGGTAAAACCGTTCAAGTGGTTTTTGACTATTGGCCAGTTTCCAATGAATATCTCGGAATCGAAGGGGGATAGCAAAATTTTTGTTATGACATTTTTTGCAGAACTGATTGAGAGCTGCAAAAAATGTAATTACGAAAATTTCGCTAGCTCCCTTAGTTTCGGAGATATTCCTCAAAAACGCAGGTAATCAACGAAGCGTTTTACCGTTTTGCTACTAAATTGTTTATTAATCATCATAAATTGAATAGTTATCGAATTAGATAGATAGATAGAATGTGATTTATTATACTCGGAGACGCAGAGATCCCCTGACGGCAAACAGAAATTAAACATCGATTACATTATGGAAACATTATAGTCATAATTGCGTAAAGTGTTCTCTTAAATAGAGCTTTATCTAGACATTTAGGAAAGAAAATGACATTCTTGTCTCATAACTCATCGAACATGCAGACGTATTTATTGAATAATTACCTTGCGTCCTCTCAAGTATTGCACATTTTTAACGGGAAAAAACATAGTATTTTTGTGATTGTCGAAGCGAATCCGAATCCAATGGCGACAGTTTTTATTCAAGTTTAATTAATCAGTTGTTCATTAAAAAAAAAAGGTAAATGTTATCATTATGCTCATTCTGTAGGACTTTATATATTATACTATCAAATACATGTCTGTCTAACTAAACTTGACTGAGTGCGGCCTGTGATTGGTCAGTTGAGAGTATCTTTCGGCTGTCATTGGTCATCACCCTCACCAGACAGTAGAACAGAAATTATGTTGAAGAGGTTGGCAGTGGTTTTCCGTTATTGTAGTGCGCGAGATTTAGATTCAGTAAATGAAGCGGTAAAACAATTCATGTCGACTTATCTCTCAGCTGAGTTTTCGAGGAATATCTCCGAATCTAAGGGAGATAACAAAATTTTTCTCATGACCTTTTTTATAACTCTCAGTTGGCTCTACAAAAAAGATCGTGACAAAAAATTTTCTATCTCTTTTAGATTCCGAGATATTCGTCAAAAACTGGGCAATAGTCAAAATCGACTTAACCCGATTTACCGTTTCGCTACTGAATTAGTTCTATATGTTCTGCTGTCAGCCGAAAAATCACAGAATTTTCCTTAACCATGAAAAAAACCCAGTTACCGACAATTTACCGATACTGGCTAAACATCCTTAAGATGTCTCGAGAGTAAAAAAACGACTGGAATGCGGGGTAAAAATGTCAAAAGGGGATGAAAAAATCTGGAGATTGCTCCAAAAATTTGTTCTTTTTCTAGAAACTGTATGAAACGAATTAGAAGTGATCTGAAAAGAATAGATAATTCAAAGAATTGTTCAGAAATACGAGGTGGTGGATAACCTCTATCGGCGGATAGGTGAGGGCGCCGCCAACTTGCTCGGATTAAACGAATAAAAAAAGTAAAACAAAGAGCTTTTGAAAATTCCCGCTCCTCGCTCTTAAATCCCCTCCATCTTGGATCTATCGACGTTTTCCCATGATGCCCTAGCTGCGCAGTTTCCTCTGTCCGCCATTTTTAAAGGGCCAAAGACTCAGTGGCCGATTGACTGTCGAACTGCGCGGTCCGGTAATTCTTGCCGATATAATTCCAGCAAAAAAGAACCCCCCCAACACATCCCCTCCAGGAGTTTTTCATTAAAAAAATCTGGCCAAATTATTCCGTTTCGCGATTGGCCCATGATAATCGAATGATCAATTTTGTTTCGTGCGTGCACGAGTGAAAATGTCGATGGCGTAATCGAGTTTACCCCCCTGGATTGTTTATCTGACATTTTTGAGGTGTGAAGAGGGAGTGGAGGGGTTAAGAACCCCAGGGGGTCGATAATTTTGGCGAGTTTGGGTCGAGGGTCAGGGGGACTTTCCAGTGGTTTAACTGTTTCATTCGGATTTTCGCCATGTCCGGAATTCCGCATATGTCCGGGGGCCTCTCCAAGCTCAAGAAGAAGCACTTTCGTGTCAAGCACCAAAAGGTCAAGCTTTTTCGTGCCAATGAGCCACTCCTCAGTGTTTTCATGTGGGGTGTCAATCACACGGTAGGATGTTGAATTTTATATCGGAGTTTTGGGGTTCATGGAGGTCTGAGGGTTATAGACGCAATTGCTCTGTGTCAACAATGCAGTTCAGGTTGTTTTATTTGCCGGGAGAGATGAGGTAAATTGGAGCAGATTGAATGGTCAATATCTCGGGAACAAATGGTGCAATTTGGATGAGTCAGGGATCGTTTTGAAGCCTGAGAAAATATCTTCCAAATGAAAAAAAAATTGGTGAATTCTACTCTGCCAATGTCGAGATATTGACGATTGAGAGCGGTTTATTCCATCTCTCCTCTCTGCATTTAATTGTCGATGTTTTTTTCTAACGAAATTATCTTATTGAAAATAAAAGTGACACGTTGTTTCTTTATCTCGTTAATGATTTGATAGATACGATATCGATATTTCATCTATGAATTCCATTCTGAGCGATTGAAGTTGCATTAAAAATAGACTTTTGCTGTTGTTCTTGCAGATAAATGAATTGAGTCATGTGAATATACCTGTGATGCTCCTACCGGATGATTTCAGGGCTTACAGCAAACTCAAAGTCGATAATCATCTCTTTAACAAGTAAGATGACGTTTTTTTAACTCCAGACTTGATCTTTTTTTGTCAATTTATCTCGAGAACGAGTCATTCCAGGGAAAAATGTCAAGAGAGCTCTGTTGCAAATGGAAAAATAAAAAAGAAATGTTTTGCATTATTTCCCCCTAAAATCACTCCTCAACAAAGCAATTTTTCAATTTGAAAATTGAAAAAAAGGGGTTTGAAGAACAATTTCGTTGTTAATGATTAATCCAACAACTGGCTAATAATTTGTAGAGAATCTGCCAAAGAATCTTTTTCATAGTTAGCGAAATTCCCTGTAAAAAATGTCCTACATTTCCCTGTGAAATGTTGAACAAAAGAAAATTGAAATTAATGAAAAAGAAAAAACGATGAGTTGTGGTTCATCTGATGCCATTCCCAACATACATCCTCTCTTTTTTATTGATCCCGCTTAAAAATAAATTCATCGTAGACGAGGTAAACAATAGTTGCCAGATATAACATCAAAATTCAATGTCTGGCAGAGCAAGACCATTTACCATCTAAATATACCACCGTTTTGGTACTCGTCTGCCAGTTACTGGCACGTGATATTGGAATCAGACGCTGTAAATTGTTAAAAAAATTGCGCCACTCGTCTAAATCTCTTGAGCACTCCAAACGAGTGTTAAATATACGAAATTTATGATGAAGGAATGTCACAAAAATTTAGAATTGTGAGAATCCATTGAAATTCATTGTTTATTCAGATGCCAAATACGCATGCTTAATCTCTCGTCAGACATTGAGGGAAAAAAATTGACTCTGCCGAAAAAATATATGTAATACTCCTAGATAAATCCCAAGTCCGCACTCTAATGTCATTATTATTTTCACAGAGAAAACATGCCATCACACTTTAAAATTAAGGAATACTGTCCTCTCGTGTTTCGAAATTTGCGCGAGAGATTTGGAATTGACGATTTGGACTACAAGGAATCAATGACAAGGTGAGATTGATCAATTCAGTTATTTTTATATCCAAGGGAAAACTTATAATTCTGAGAAAAAGTTGGGGTCCTTGAGGAAAGAGAAAAAATGAGACGAATATTTTCATTTTTTTTAACAATTATGCAAATATCTCGGTGACGAGTGGTCCTACGAAAAATTGTCCCAAGGCCCTTTTTGAAGGTAATTCCAAGACCTATAAAAAATGTTCAGGGACGTTTTTGTCTAAATCGCCCCGTTGACGAGATATTCACAAAAATCGTGGAGTAGTTCAAGCACCACATGTACTCGCTAATTATGCAATTATCTCGCTAATTATCAATTCTAGGCAAAAATGTCCCTGAATATTTTTTGTAGAAAATTTCCCCCTCTACAAAAAACTTTCAGATGCATTTTTTCCTAGAATCACTCATTTTCTAGATAAACCCGATAAACTAAAGTGGCTCTTCCAAACTCTTGACTTTTTCTCGTTATTATCAAACTTTGTCTTTCCACTCTCAACATTTTTGTTTTTTCTGCAAATACTGGTGTCGTTGAAGCGTTTGAATGTATCCAAAGATGAAAATGATAAATTAAGAAGAAAAAAATGTGTATATACTAGATGTCGTGCATTTAATCCTTCGCGTCTCAAGCGACGTTCAAGAATAACCGATAAACCAGAATTGTCCACAAGCAACGAGATATCCATGAAACAACGACAAATGGTACAACGTTCAGCCACTGTTCCTACGATAAATGTAACAACACCGGGAAATAATACGTCTAAATTACTGAATATAAATAAGCCACAGCGTACCTACAGTTTTAAGCCAAAACGACTGAGGTTAGAGCTTTTGTTTCTTCATTACTGCCAATTATTTTCATTCAACATGTCTTTTTACCATCACTTTTTCGTTTTTTTACGTGTGGCTAACGAAATAAATAATTGCAATGAACACAACTAAAATGATAATTACAAGTCACTATTTGATTCATTGAGTTGGAGAGGAGAATTGTGATAATTTTTAGGATAGTGAGGATTAATAAACAGCATTTGTCGATGATTAAGAATATTTCATTCTCATTACGCCTGTTGGAGAATTGAGGAGAGGAGTTGGAAAAGTTGATGAGAGAAGTTTCCACTGAAAGATAAATTGCTGAATCGTTAAAAATGAAATATCAGGAAAAATGACTATTGAATGAACAGGGATGCGAAAAAATGACATGACACGTCACTGACCGGTCATATGACACGGCAGTGACGGCGGTCATGTGACACGGCCAACCATGACAATTTATTGTCAAATGACACAAACGTGACTGTTTCACCCTGCGACCGTCACATCCCATCTGATTAGTGGCACCCCAGGTGGCGGCAATTAGTTCGAAATTCGAGAATTCCCCATGATTACCTCAATGGATGGACAATCACAAGTGTCAACATGCGTGTCAGTCGTGTTTCAGTTTGAAAAAGAAAAATCAGTGGTGAGTTTATTGACTAGTGTCATTTTTCTCACTGGGAATGGTCGAACAGTTGAGATCAATGAATAAAATAAATGATTTCACACCAATTTTTCATCACAATTTTTGACATGATATTCATCTGACAATTTCCTCAATTCTGATTTTGACCAATCACAGTGCAGTATTCGGAGTCACGTGACGCGTTTCACACTGATAAATTCCCCGACTGCAGGGAAATTATCAGACTGATAATTTCCCTGTAGCCTGTCAATTGTTTTCTACGAATTTGACAGATATTCCTCACATTTTGGTGAGATGTGTCCCGTAACCCCGAACACTGCACCCTGATCGGCCAAAATTAGAATTGAAGAAATTGTCCTCCGAATACCCCTCGACCTTCAAAATTCATCGGATATTTCCCTCAAGTTTTCCTGCATGTCAACGATCGGGATCAGCTTTGCAGTAAAATCCCGCTCGTTGCTATGCAACAAAACACTCGGGAAATATCCGATAATTTTGAAGGTCTTGGGGTATTATAGCTGAAAATTACACACAATTTTGAATCCGGATATTCTGCGGAAATTTTCAACTGAAAAATTCACTCCACATTCAACATTCTCTGCCTGAAGGCCTTCAGGCGACGGGCGCATTGGCAAGTAAACCCTTGCATCAAATAAACCGATGTAATTTGAAAATTTGTGACAAGATTTTGTAACAGAAAAATTTATGACGGTCACATTGCATCTAACTAGTTGACTATCGTATGTGAATCGACAGTGTGACCCATATTATGACATGAAAAAACGTGACTTCACATGACCGTCATATTTTTGTGATTGACAGATTTCAAAAGGTGATGTTATTTCGCATCCCTGGTTGAGAGACCTCGGGAGTAAAAAAATAAATTCTCTTCCAAAAGGGGATAAGAAAGTCTGAAAAATAGCTTGAAAAATTTGTTCATTTTCTGGGGACTGAATGGAATGAGTTGACGGTGAAATGAAGAGAATAAATAATTTTAATGAATGCTCAAAAACACGAGGTGGGACGAGGGGCTTCCAAGATGGCGGCGCTTCCACCTCGCATTTTTAAACATTTTTTAAAATGATTTATCCTTTTCAGATCACCCTCAATTCACTTCGACCGGTTTCTATTAAATGAACAAATTTTTCAAGCCATCTTTCAGATTTTTTCATCCCCTTTTGGCTGAGAATTCACGACGCAGAGGTTTCTACGTATTTCAGTATTTTTTTTACTCCTGAGGTTTTTTGAGAGTCAAATGGTTGTTAAGGGTCGTTTGACCCTCAACTAAAAAAGGAAAAAATTCCTGAATTTCCCTCACGTTTTCCCACTTTCCTCTCAAATAACCTCTTTGATTTTTCATGAAAAAAAAACAGAAGGATTTTGTGCACGGAGTACTAACACACGGATCACGTTCTACATAGACTAGAAAACCAGCCTATAATTATTGTAACACGCCCACAGGCACGCGACCATAAATCAGCTCATAATTACAAAGGGAAAAAAATCCAATAATGTTGGAGTGAGGAGTCATATCAAGCGTTATAGAAAATAAACGTATTTCCGACAGAGGAAAAACACATGGAATCATGCATTAAAAACAGTGGAGAGCACCTGGGTATTGAATTGGAGTCCTTGATGGATTTGCAAATGCTTTCGCTTGTTCATTAATTAATCACATGCAGACATCGATTCGTGTGATTTGTGTGTTACTTTACTTTACGTTCTGTTCTTTTCTGTTCAGCTCCACTATATCAATTTTTTATCCTCACATCTACATTGTGATTTTTTTAAAATGATTCCGTAGACAGAGCTGGGAACTATTTCATGAAAATTGCAACAATTAACGAATACTATTTTGCAATATTTCAAATAGTATTTCACTCAGTTCTGTTACTCCATCAATGCTTAATCCTGTCATTGTTCTTAAATTGACATAAATCATCGATTTTTAAGAATGGAAATTTTTTTCTAGGTCACAACCAACGCTGGATGATTCATCAGGAAAGAGTGGAGCCAAGTTTTATCAGTCTTATGACAAATTATTTATTATCAAGACTATGACGAGTGAGGAGGTGGAGAGAATGCACTCGTTTCTCAAACATTATCATCCAGTAAGGATTCATTAATTATTTTGGGGGAGAGTGGAAACGCTATCATTCATGTTTGGAATTTCCGAATTCCATTGACATTTCGCCTCTTCGTATTTTTTCCCCCCTGCTTGTTTTATATTTTTTTCTGAAATTCAGTAGCGAAGCGGTAAACCTGGTCAAGTCGATTCTGACTATTGGCCAGTTTTTGACGAATATCTCCGTGTGGAGATATTCGTCAAAACCGTTTTGGTACAGACAATTTTCCCCCTGATGACTCAAACTCAGAGTTAACTCTGGGTTAACTCTGGGCTCGTAGAAATTTCCCAGAGTTTCTCTCCTTCTTCGCTGTTTTTTTCCATAAACCCAGAGTTGGCCCAGAGTTAAGGATGTTTAGCTATTTTCAGCAAATCTTATTTTTTCATGTTCAAGGAAAATTCTAAATTTTTTTTGGCTGATAGCAGAACATATGAAACTAACTTTTTTGATGTTAAAAAAATTGATCGCAATAGTCTCGCCAGAAATAAGTGATCAAATTTTTCCTTATACACGGGCTCTTATGGGATTTATGTTAAAATTTATAATTCACCTACTATAAAACCTTTTTTTTGAATACTTTCGATTTTTGATAAACATCCTCAACCCTGGGTTTGATCTACCAGGCTCCCTGTCGTTTATTCCGCCCTCTTCGCTTCATCTCAAACAACCAAACTCACTGAATTTCCACTTTTCAGTACATAGTGGAGAGACACGGAAAGACCCTGCTCCCCCAGTACCTGGGTATGTACCGGCTGACAGTTGACGGAGTGGAGCACTACGTAGTGGCAATTCGAAACGTCTTCTCGAACCACTTGACAACGCACAGGAAGTTCGACCTGAAGGGTTCGACAGTTGATCGCGAGGCATCTGACAAGGAGAAGGAGAAGGATCTCCCCACGTACAAGGACAACGACTTTGTCAAGGAAGGAATGAAGATCTACATAGGTGAGGAGGCAAAATCTAAGCTGATAGAGACCCTCACAGCAGACGTGGACTTTCTAACGAGGCTTCACTTGATGGATTACTCGTTGCTGCTGGGCCTTCACGACTGTGCGAGGGCTGAACAGGAGAACAGGGAGAGGGCAGAGAGGGAGGAGGACGAGGAGAATCACGACGACGAGGATGACAGCGAGTCTGGCAGTGGATTGGACTCCAGGGGACCTGGGGTAGACAGGGTCTGGGGCTGGTCTGGGGTCACGGGAATGACAACACCACCAGAGTCACCTCATGCTGCTCTCATGAGGGATGCCAGCCTCCAGTATGATGATGCCATTATACCAGAGCTGGATATCTACGCCATTCCCAGCAAGGAGGGGGCTAACAACAAGGAGATTTATTTTCTGGCTATTATCGACGTGCTGACGCATTATGGGGTCAGAAAGCAAGCTGCTAAGGCTGCAAAAACTGTTAAATATGGGGCTAATGTTGATGGAATATCCACTTGTGATCCTGAACAGTATGGGAAGAGGTTTATCGAGTTCATGAGCAAAGCTATTGAGTAAGGAGGAGATTTTTGGAGTGTTTGGAGAGTTTCGAGGGGATTTTTTGGGCTTGGGGGATGGCATTGGTCAAAGTGAGGGTTTGGCTGGGATTTTGAGGGAGTTGAGGGCAGGAGACGATTTTTGGGGGTATTTTTTTTCTAGGAAAAAGGTCAGAGGCTCAGGAAACGTCTCAATAAGAATTTTCATAAGTCTCTTAAATTCAAAGAAATTCCAGGAAAACTGGTGAACAAAATTGAATTCAGTTGATACTGAGGTTTTTAATAAATATCTTCGAATTTAAGGGAAGTACAAGATTTAAAAAAACACTCTTTCTTTGTAGAGGAAATTGAAAGGTAAAACACAACTATCAATAAAACCGATACTGATAACTTCGTCAGATTCTAAGAAATTAAAAAAAACTGATGGCAGTAACTGGATTTAATCTAATGCAGATAAAAAATTCCTTATCACGAAAATTTTTTGGATAAAAAAAGTCTGACCTTCAAAAAACGTCTCGATAAAAATTTTCTTGCATCTCTTAAATGCAAAGAATTCAAGAAAACGATGAAGACGACTGAATGCAGTCGATCCTGATATTTCAGAGAATATCTTCTCATCTGTAGAAAAAATCAAAAGCTACAAAAATCGAATTGTTCCCAAGTAAAACTGACTAATCCTGTCTGACTACTCAATTAATCATTGATCCTCATCACGGTATTATCATTGATCAACAGCCTATCTTATCTCCTCACTCCTAACGTCGAGTTTCTTCATCTTCACATGAGGAAGAATAGGAATTTCCGTATTTGCTCTTGTGATTAATGTTCTTTTTTTAGCTTTGAGTGTGAGACACTTGTTGAAAGGAAAAAATTAATGATCGGTACGAAAGGATTATTCGAATGAAGAAGAGACAGAGATTTTGGAACAAATCAATAATACAATAGGAATAAATGTTGACTTGAACCTATTGAGAAAGAAAAAAACACTATTAATCATTACTCCTATTGATAAACGTTTTTTATAATTCATGAGAAGTTTAATCGATAAATGCCCAAACTTAATATAAAATTTATTTTTTAAAGATTTAAGGTGAAACCACTATCTAGTCCTCAATTTTTATTTCGCGTCTAATTAATTCCTCCTGCAAATCTCTTGTTTTTTTTCTATTTTTTCTGAAATTGTTACTTCTAGAATTGAATGTCAACGTTTCGTTGCATGTTCGTTGTTTCAGAACGTTCAGTAAACATGAAAATAATTGATAAAATGTTCAGATGTAAGGAAAAAATGCAAAAATACGCTCAATCGTTTCTATTTTGCGTCCTAGACTTAAGAAATTTAATTAAGAAGAATATTCTAATTTTTTGTTTTCTTTTTTCTAACGTCGAAATTTTTTTTGTACGAAAAAACTATGTTCACTCTTTGCTTGTTCATATCAACGGTTGCCAATGCTATTATTTTTGTGCTGTTGGGGAAGATGAAAATTCAGCAACAGTTTTTTTTCCCACTAATTTACACGACACAATAAACAAATTTAACACCTAAAAACACTTTGAATTGTTCGAGTTTGATTCAAAAATTCAATTGAATCGATTATTTTCCACGAAACAACCATTTTTCAGTGACAATACGACTCCTTTGTTCATAAATTTTTCACGATTAACAACACAGAGACACAATTTGAATAAAAAAAAATGAAAAAGTTGTTTTAATCAATAAAAAAAAATTGCATAAGATAAATAAATTGTTGTATATATATTCAGTATTCACCGGTCGGTAACATGTGCCGGCTAGATTGTCCAGGAATTATAGCGATTAATGAATGAATTGAAAACCGAAAGAAGGAGGTATGAAGATAATAAAGGAAATTACGAATTAAATAGTGATTAATTTATTTTTGTAAATACTATTACAAAGAGTATTCAAACCATGTAATTTTCTAAGCACATGTCAATCAAGTTTCCCTTAAATACATCGTTAATATAAGATAGTTACGTTTATTACAGAGGGACTCCTCCCAGGCACACCATTTAAGTCGACTTTGCTCTCATCTGGGTTTTCGAGGAATATCTCCGAATCTAAGGAAGATGGCGAAATTTTCGTTAATACCTTTTTTGTAGCTCCCAGTTCGTTCAACAGAAAACGTAATAACAAAATTTTGCCATCTGCCTTAGATTCCGAGACACTCGTAAAAAACTGAGGCACAGCGAAAATCGACTTGACCCTTTTTCCCATTTCGCTGTGAAAGTGCCTCTTCCTACCTTAATAATTCAAAAAAACTGGACATTCCCAAAAATTTGGAGTCATCTCGAGGCAAATTCCCAATCTCCCCACTCAAACAGCATAAAACTAGTTAAAGACTCTAGGTCTCTTGCTCTCGGCATTCTCCTCGCTGGTCCCCTCCTCCTCATTGCCGCCACTCCTCTTCCTCCTGGCAGTCGGAGACATCTGCTTAAGGCACTCAACGTCATTAAACACGACCTGTGCGCCTCCCCCACTGGTGGGCACAATGTCCCCCTTGTAAAGCTTGGTCTCCAGTTCCCCATCAGTGTCCTGTTCCTGAGCAATGAGACAGTACCTGGATGCCCCATCAGTGATCTCCTTGGGGTCCGTCAGCTTGGTGACGCTCCTCCTCCTCCTCATCAATGGCTGGAGAACAGTCCCAATGGGAACCAAAGCCCCGGGTCTGTGATCAACCCAGCGATCAGCACTCTGACTCCTCCTGTGTCTCAAATTGGCCACAGGAACCTTGTCCCTTCTGGACCTGCCGTCAGCAGCAGCAATCTTCCCCGACACAGTCTCAGGAATCCTCTCCTCGACCCTCTCCTTCTCAACCGGAATGATGATATTCCCGTCGTCGTCCAGGATCTTCTTCACAAGCCTCAGCCTGTCCTCCGTAGCTTTGGTCTGGCTCTGCATCCTCATCCTCTGCTGCCTCAGCTTCATCTCAAGCTCTTTATTCATCTTGTCAGTCTCCTGCTGCATCTTCGTATTGAACCTCTGCTTGACCTTCTGCTTCTCAATCAACCTCTGGTTGAGACAAAAGTCCTTGTCCCTCAACTCCACCTGCAGCTTCTGAATGGTCTCATTAGCAGCGTTGAGCTTCCTCAGAAGACTGTCAATCTGCGTCTCCGTCTTGCAGACATGATCCTCCAGAGTACTGAGCTTCTTCTTCTGCTGGGAATTGGCTGCCTTCAACGAGGCATTCTCCACTTTGAACGTCATGTTCTCCTGCTCAATGTTATGCAGCATCTTTCTGAAGTCATTCTGTTTAGTCTCCAGATCGGACCTCAACAGGTTCCTCCTGGCAATCCTGTGCTCCAAGAATCTCATCAGAGTCGTGATGACCTCGTCATGATGGGGATTGTTGACATCCATCGGAGGGAAGGCTCCTCCCAATGAGTAGACAAGCCCCAGGTCAAGATCAAGATCAGCAGCCTCAGGCCTCCCCATGGCCTCCAGCCGACTCCTAGCTTCCTTAAATATCTTGTTAGCTTGTCTTCTCCCTGGCGTAAACCCAAGATCGATCTTCGGAACGATGGGACGAGCGACCTGCACCTCCTGCGTCATCTCCGCAAACTTCATCACCTGAATGGTCTCGTCGTAGTCGTCAGCCCTCGGATTGACGCAGACAATCATCCTGACCCTGCCCTCTCCATCGAAGTAGTTCTTGAATAGATGTGTAAGCTTCGAGTCCCTGTAAGGCACAATCTTATTGCTGCCGGTGGTCTGATTCTCCCTCAATATCTCCAAGCACGACCTCAGGGTCATCAAGGAATTGTTGATGTTGCCGGCCTCCCTCAGACGTTGTCCAGTGTTCTTCGTTCTGTTGGTTCTCTCCGAGCCCGCGAGATCCACCAGAGACAGCTGAGAGATGGCTATCAATCTCTTGTCATCAACAACATTTTCCCCTTGACTGTCCAACGGCCCCTGCACCAATCTGATGGTGAAAACCGAGTGCGACCTCGAGGACTCGGCATTCAAAGCTGTGTGAGCCACTCTTCGCTTCCTCTGGCCCCTCCTGAAGGCCTCGAAGGCTTCCTCAGAACTCTTGACTTCGATCTGCGTCACCATGTGAACGTACATGTTCTTGTTGCCATCCTCTCTCAGGATTTTCGACTGGAGGGTCTTGCCTTTTGGCTCCTCCTCGTCCAGGAGATCGTACACAGAGTTGTTGTAGATCTCCACGTACGTTATGAAGACAGCGTAGACACTGTCTTCGTCGACAGGCAGCGATTGCGACTCGTCTGGTGATCGGGGCAATGGGGGATTGCTGTCTGTGTCACTGTCCTGACGTCTGTACTTTGTCTTCTGGGGTCTGGGGGTCGTCAGACCCGCGTGCAGCTCTGATTGTCGGTCTAACATTGCGTCTGTGTCACTTTGGACCTCGAAGGAGTTGAAAGGGTCCGGTTTGAAGACGAATTTCTTGGCTTGGTACGACGAGATGCTGTTGAAGAGAACGTCTAGGCAACGGGGCATTATCCCGGAGTTTTGGGGCTCTCCGGTCATGGTGAAGGTCTTCCCCGAGCCCGTTACACCGTAGGTGAAGAGGAGGGAGTTCTTAGAGTTGATGAGGTTTTCGACGAGGGGGAGCGCCACGCAGCTGAAGATTTCGCCTTGGGGGACGTCGGGGGTGAACACCTTCGTGAAGGTTGTCTGGATTTCTTTGGTGGTGGCACGGAAGTTCGTGGAGGACTCGGGGGGCGTTATGAGAATTGTGGTTGGGGAGATCACCTTCATGCAGGAGGTGTCGGTGGGGCTCTGCATGGGGCGCACCCGGCAGTAGACCTGCACTGGGTCCTTTGAGAGGGGCTGCTGGAAGCGGGGGCGCGTTGGCTTGCGCGCGGACAGCGGGGGCTTCGGACGGCTGCAAGAGGTCAGGTCGGTTGGTTCGGGGGGCTTCGAGCGGCAGCAATTATCGGATTTATGGGAAGCGAAGCGGTAAGACGATTCGAAGTTGTCGATACATCACTTTAATTTGGGAACAAGATATGTGCGATTTCAAGACGGTTTTCCCCTCGGGAGGCCCAGAGTACGGGAGAGTGGGGCAAAATGAAACAGTCGACAAAACGACTGTTTAACGGAATTCAAGCAAAACAAATTTTTATTAATAAATTTTTTTTCATCAACTTTTTTTTATTCTTGGGAGTACTGATGAGAATAATTAGTTTTAACTTCCCAGGTTAAAAGTATACTGTTACGCACTTGTACTGAAATATACTATAATTTTGAAGATTAAAATCTGAAATAAATTCTAATCGACAGTTGGCATGAATCGAAAATCAGGTGGACATTGTGCTCAATCAGCAGTCTATTATTATTGATAATAATTAATTTAGAAGTCCAAAAATGATGCAGTCTTATGAGGAAGCTTTTCGAGATTGCGGAAAAATCTGAAGGAATGAGTAAAAATTCAATAGTGAAGTAGTAAACCGGTATGAGTAGATTTTGACTATTGCCCAGTTTTCAATGAATATCTCAAAATCTAAGGGAAATGGAAAAATTGTTGTCATAACCTTTTTTATAGAGCAAATTGAGAGCTACAAAAAAGAAAATTACAACATTTTCGCTTTTTCCCTTCAATTCCGAGATATTTATTGAAAACTGGCCAATAGTCAAAATCGACTTATACCGGTTTACCACTTCGTTACTGAATTCTATTCCCAATGTAAAATTATCTTTTGTAATAAATAATTTATGTTTTCGCGTGCCTGAGATGGCATGTCATGGGGAAACTCTTTGGCGAAACGGGAGACTATTGTTTAAAAAAATAACTGAAGAATTCACTGAATTAATTTCTTACACTCATCACACGTACATTTCATGGGAAAAATTATTAATGTGTCTCTGGGGAATAGCTCCGAATCTAAGGGAGATAGCGAAATTTTCATCATAACTTTTTTTGTAGCTCTCAATTCGTACTACAAAAACGGATATGACAAAAATTTTCATATCTGCTTTGGATTCCGAGTTGTTCATTGAAAACTGACTTGAACCGTTTTACCACTTCCCTACTGGATTTTTCAGGGCTAAAAGAGTTTAACATTCGTGTGGACTTTTTTCAAGTGCTAATGAGTATGCTCATGACCTACAAGTATTAGTACACCCCTAGATTTATTTTTAATCAAGGGGTCATCATCTCGATAACAAATGCCTTCAGAGGAAAAAGTAAAAGCACATTAAGGGAGGTTGGGGTAAAACGGACACTTTTGACTTTTTTTAAAATGCTAATGAGGGGTTGAATTGTTGATAAAATTCAATACTTTTTTTTCAATACAAAGAACAATTTTTTCCCTTTGTGACGAGCCTAAACTGAGCTCAATTGATAAATTTTTTCAGTTATGAATAATTTTTAAAAAGTTTAAAGTGTCGGTTTTACCCCACCCTCTCCTATTGATTGGAAATTTTCTCGTCTACAAAAAAAGTCTTTTGACATTTTCCCTTAGAATCACTAATTCCCAAGATAAATTAACAACTAAAAAAAAGTTGGAATCAACTTGTTCATTATTCATAAATCGGAATTGTTGGACTGAAATTTAGTTAACTTGTCGTTTTTTTTAGGCCTCTTTTAAAGCTTTGTATTGAGGAAAAAAAAAAATCGTATCATTTTTTTGACGAGACATCAGAGATTTTTTAAGAATCTGCTTCACAACTGATTAATTTTTCTATTTTTTTTCAGTTAAATATTTTTTATGGTGAGGTTCACACAACAAAGAGTGATTGTGATTTCTAAAACGTAAAAATTCATCTCCAGTGGACCATCAGAGAGAATTTCACCTAATTTTCACTTGAAAATTCGCCACATCGAGTGTCAACTTAATTTAACCTTCAATATTCACTTAATCGATGAAATTCATGTACTTACGATGGCTTCATTATTCCCGAGCTTCTCTCACGGCTATCGGATTATTCACGAGACTCCTGATCCACTTATTAATGATAAAACAACAAAATCTTTGGGGAAAATGACAGAGGCCCCTGCTATGTTTGACGGTTTAGAAATACGTTGGAAAACAGACGCGTTTGCCAGTTTGCCTCGGAATTTCGTCGTTTGAAAATTGTGGGGAGTGGGGGGGAGTCGACCAATCACAGAGGGAACTACCCGGAAGTGGTGGTCGTCTATAACATGCGTCAATTCAGCGCGGGAAATTCGAAGTCCTCCATTCGGTGTAAAAAACTTCCAAAGGACAAAAACAGAGAAATTAATTTTAGTAAATTTTCAATATTTCCTGATCAAATGATCAAACGATTTATAAGAATTCAGAGGAGTGGGGGGGGGCTTTGAAGTTTATAAAAACAGAGAAATTAATTTTCGTAAATCTTCAATATTTCCTGATCAAATGATCAAACGATTTATAAGAATTCAGAGGAGTGGGGGGGGGCTTTGAAGTTTATAAAAACAGAGAAATTAATTTTCGTAAATCTTCAATATTTCCTGATCAAATGATCAAACGATTTATAAGAATTCAGAGGAGTGGGGGGGGGCTTTGAAGTTTATAAAAACAGAGAAATTAATTTTCGTAAATCTTCAATATTTCCTGATCAAATGATCAAACGATTTATAAGAATTCAGAGGAG